ACAGGCACACAGAAGAAAAGGAGAAAAAAGGTAACACCGCTGGCTAACCACGTACAAAAGGGTTGTACAGATTGAGAGCCCGTTCGGCGTTGCGACCCGTCTGCTTGTAGCCGAAAACAAGGTCGATCCAAGCGGGAAGATGGGCGGTAACATAGGTACTCTCGAAGGCGGCCCGATTGACCAGAGTAAAGAGACGCGGATCGCCCTTGGCCCATCTAGCAAAAGAAGATGGCAGTTTTGAACAAACAGGGGTCAAAGTGTACTAGCAGGGCGAGTGTACTGTGTGATATCGAGAGGCTTACGGTGGCAGAACTACGCAGTCAATTGGGGAGCCATTTTGTCGACTGCCCAACTCGAAGTTCTCCCAGTTGGCGAACAGGTCTGGTCGGATGAAGAACTCAGGCACTAGCTCCTTCGTGCAGGCAACAGAACTCGTGGCTAGCTGCCATTCCGTGGCCACTGAGTGAAAGGACCGATCCGGAGCGTCGAAGTTGCCATCTATGGGGGAAGGACGACGGAAGACGTCAGAAAAAGGACGAAAGAAACAAAAGCAAGCGGGACAGTACCCCCTCAATCATGCGAAAATCTTTTGACGGTCAGGTCACGGAACAGAGACTTGTCGTTGTGCATTGGGGTCTAATCTAGAGCCCTCCATCGACAAATGTACCGATGAAGCAGGGCGACCCTGATCACAATTTCTGACATAGTAGCCGTCGCCAGCACACCAGAACCCACATTCGGACATGTTAAAATTCGAGATCGGATTCTTTGGACAATGAGCTCAACGTCGTACAATAAGCCAATCGACCGCTTTTCTTCTTAGTTGCTTTCAGAGGTTAATTGCCTCATAGTTAGTGGCCAAAGCGTCCGTGTTCAAACCCCAGGCTGGGCCTATGTATGGCTAGCTGACTAATAAGTCAGAAATGACCCACTCGGTAAGTCCCTTCTTCGTCCAATACTCCAGTCTGCATCAAAACCATTTGCCCAAAAGGTCAAATAAGCATGAAACTTATCCAAAAAGTAAACCTCACTAACTCGGTCTTCAATTAATTCGAAGACTCCAGAAATATGATAAAAGTTCTAGGCATGAGCCAAACAGAAAAACCAGTATGCACGGCCTTTGAAACAAGAAATGACTAATATCGCCTACCTAGAAATCTGGGAATTTACGCTCAAGGCGCATCAGCACGTCCTTCATAGTAGCAAAGCTGACGCGCTACCAGTTCTGGTCTGGGAGTTGGTCATATGAGGAGATACTTAGGTGCGTATCATTGATCGAGGTCAGACAGAAAGGACTCTTTCCTAATCTGCTGTCGATAGCTTTTTAACATAATTATGCCGTCTAGCACATCTGAAGTGGGAGCCAGGTC